CCGTAGGGACGAGTGGTTCTGCCAGTTAGCCAGGGCCACATGTTCTCCTCGCTCACACAGCAGATCGTCAGGGTCATCTAGCTCATTAGAAACAAAGGCATCAGTCTGCACACGCTCACAGAACTTGTATGTTTCACAGCAGACCAGCACAGGTACATTATGGGCCCGTGCCACCAGGGCCAACTGTGCTGTCCCTACCCGGGACATCACAGATCTATTCGCCAGGAGAGCATGAGCTCCCAATAGCACCTTAGAAACCTCTGGGAGCACACAGGAAGCTGCAGGAATCAGCAGGTAGGAGGCAGGGACCCCAGCACGGACCAGAGAACGTAGCGTGTGCTTTCCCTCCAGCCGTGGCCGGCTGTCCACCACTACCACGCGAAATTGCCGGCCCTTAGCCCAAGCCTCCTGAAGAATTTGTGATACCAGAGATGAGCATCCATATACCAGGATCACATCTCCATTACTGATCTTCTTATAAGCAAAGCGTGAGATTGCCTGAGCTGCGAGCACAATCTTCTCTTTTATGTATCTGTCAATAGCTGCTTGTAGTTCTGACTTGGCCTCCTCTTCCCGTTTGGAGCTGCTCACACCCATGATCTCCTTGTTAAGGAACTTGATGGCGTTATACATGCTTGCTGACAGGGGACGGCACTGAGTCAGGAAGCTGAAGTAGGGCTTTAGTTTATTCACCAGGTCCCTTGACAATTCTTCATTGGGAGGTGTTGTGTAGTCCTGAATCACCTGCTGCAAGGCACGAAGCAGGGCGATGCACCGGGCATTGGAGCCGCTGACCAGGCCCTGGGAGTACTGCAGGCCGAGCCGCACCATGGCTGGGTGGATCACAGAGGATGGGATGCTCATAAACTGGGTCAAAGAGTTTTGTCTGCTGTACTGGGGTAGGTGGGAGAAGAGACTGACTTTGGATCCATAATCCTTTCGTGTAGGAACCTGCTGTCGCTCTGGTTTTTTCACAAGCCTTCTCAGAAGTGTGGGGTCATCAACCTGACTATGCTCAGGTAGACGCTTCACTCCTGAGGGGGTTTCTCCAGCTGTGCTGGGGCAGGCTTGAGGAGGTGGCCCTCCTTGGTCCCCTTTTCTCGCCTGCTTCAGGGCCCGCTCAGCCTCCTGCTTGGCCCGCCGTTCAGCTCGAAGTTCAGCTTTACTCCTACCTGCTGGAACTTTCTCCTTGGCAGTGCCCAACTGACTGTCCGGTCCTGTCAGGTGTTTGGCTGGGCCTCCTTGACACTGGGCTGCAGATACAGCGGAGCCAATTTCTGCTTCTGCACCCTTTTCCTCCTTCCGTTTCTTCTTCTGCTGTTTCTTTTCCTTCCGAAGCTGCAGCTTTTCTTCTTGGGTCATCTCCCTCCCCCCTGCCCCAGACCAAGGAGCAAGCTCTGCCTTCATCCCAGATCCCGAGTCCTCGCGAACAGCCACAGCCACGGTAGCCATCACCCTCCGTTCTCTTCATCTTCCTTTCTTATTGCAGGCTCTGGCATAGCCGGTGGAACTGAAGCCACCATCCAAGTGGCTTAATCCCCATGGCTTCTTCTGCTCCAGCTGAGGAAAGAACCTACCCTAGAGGGCAGAAAGCCAGCACAGTGGGGCTCCACCTAGCTGGGGGATGAGCCCCACAAGCCCACGAGAGCCTATAGGGCTGTGCTGGGGCTGTCACCAGCATCTATTGAAAAAAAAATGCGAACCCACTGGACTTTGGGGGCTTCTCTGGTGGGAAGAATATACTATTCTTTATATAGTAAAGAATCCGCTTGCAACGTGGGAGACCTGGGTTTGATCCTGGAGTTGGGAAGATCCCTTGGAGAAGGGAACAGCTACCCACTCCAGTATTCTGGTCTGGAGAATTCCATGGACAGAGGAGCCTGGCAGGCTACAGTCAATGGGGTCACAAAAAGTCGGACACAACTGGACTTTTTATATTCAGGTTCAGCACCCTCTCTAGTTAAACACATGGGAAGTCCCATTAGAGGCTGATCTACACTAGGAGCTTCCTCCTACAGCTACTGGATTAGGGGCTTTATATCAACATCAAAAACGTAGCAGCACCTATGATCAATACCACATGTCATTATTAAATTCTTAAAATCTCTGAATAAAATTTCCAAGTCTCTGGGCAGAAATCAAACTATATTCCTGAAGGAAAAATATACAATATGTTTGTAAGTGAATCCACTCATTCATACACAATCCCCTTCAAACTCACAGATACACACACACACAGGCATATTCAGACATGCACACACACCCATCCACACTTGCATACACCCTGTGGGGTACTTCCATCTAACACCACAAATGCTTGCCTCAGTGAGGCTTATCAAGTTTATACTTTTATTATACTCTGAATAGAGGTGATATTTAAAGAGCAGAAAAAATGACTATACAAAGGATTTATAGAACATTCATTTACATACTGGATATATTCTTTACAATATAAGTAAAAATATCCACTACTAGGTAAGGCAGAGAAGGAGACAATGAGGTCTCTGATGCCGAGAATACACATGGAGACCCTTAAATGCGATGTGACTTAATACGTTTACAGGTTAACACTGGAGGAATACAGCATAGGTTAATGAGCAGGTTAACAGGCTCTGGCTATGAGGCTATGATGCTAGTGGGGTGCAGTCCTTGTGCACAATCCAGGACAGTACCCCTGTGCCCATGGGCACCCCAGATGCCTGGGGATGTTCCCTCCCTGTCTGCCCAGAGCCAGTGTTGGTGGTGGGGCTGCCCAAGGTCTGAGCACAAAGTTCATGGACTCGTCTTGTTCCATTTTATGCATATGTAACACACTGTTGTACCAGCTCCTCAGAAACCAGGAAACTCGATTCCTTTCATTCCTTACTCCAGAGGGAGCCGGTTGCTGGGAGGAAACTTCTTTGACCACTGAGAGTAAAAGGCTCAGCTGCCAGTCAGTTTAAAAACCAAATGTCATGGCTTGCGTGATCTGGACGAGGACAGCCAGGGGCAGGAGAACGTCCCTCTGTGATTGGGGAAGTTGATGCTACTAAGTCCGGAACCCCTCATGAGCCCTTTCTTCGTCTGTCAGGATAAGGGACCTGGCTTGCAGCCTCTGGATCAAACTTGTGGACCAGCATCTCAGGAGGAGGCCCCTTTGGGGGCCAATACAAACCTCTGCTCCTCTTCACCGAGTTCTGCTGTAAATGAAAAACTGAAATGCTAGACGCTCCCACCCCAGCAACCAAGGCATCAGGCCTCTGGGAGACACCGGCACGTTCTCCTTGGCCATGCCACCACGCGTCAGAGAAAAGGGTCCACAGGACCAAGGCAGACATTTGGCACAAAAATGAGGCACTTGTGTTGGTGCATCAATAGGAGCTAAACAGTGGACTCACCCACCTGCTTTCACACATACACACTCACACACACGAACAGTGCCCACTGGATTCGGTGGATCCCACCTCTCCTGTCACTGACTGTCTCTGCCCCACTTTAGAAACAAAGAATCCACAGAGCACATTTCCAAACACTAGTGTGATGACTGCTGCGGTGATTCCTGGTGTTTGAAGAGCTGGTGCTTGATTTGGGAAGCAGAGGAGATGGACAGTTCTCTGGGGATGGAGAGCTGCAGCATGAACGTCTGGGGCGATGGGGAAGGAGACGGGGGCTTTATGACGATGTTGTGCAGCTCTGTCTCTTGCTCTGGGGAGCCTGCAGGACCACTGGCTTCTCCCAAACCTCTGACCACTGACAGATTCAGGTGGACAGACCTCCGCTTAGCAACATGCACATCGGCATAAACAGCATGCCTGATTTGGTGCCTAAGATGATGCAGAAGAGCTGGGAAACAGTGTTAGAACACCTCCCCTTGCTCAGGTGCCAGAACACATGGATCCCAATGGGAGACAACAGGTAGGGTGGAGACAGATGAGCACTCCTGCAGGTGAACGGTTCTAGGGCGGTGATCTTTCCCAGGCCCCGACGGCCGAGGACAGCGATGCAGAGCAGGCCTGAGTCTCAAACTAATCGTGTCCCACCCCTCAAGACCTTCCTCCCCAGAAAGGCTGTATCTGCAGCCAGGAAACCACACGTGGATGGTCAAGCATTCAAAAGGCTGCTTGTGGAAACCAAATATGGATGGTCAAGCATTTGGAAGGCTGCTTGAGGCAAAGCCAGTTTTGGCAGCCGCCCTCGGGCAATGACAGCTGAGAGCATGCCCAAGAGTCCACACTGCACTCCTGGTACATCTGACCGGGGGTAGACACTCGTTTTAGAATCCTGACCTTGGCAGAAGGCAGCATGTAGACACCAGTACAGCATAACAGTGGCAAACTGTTATCATAAATAACTTGGCAAAAGTAAAATATAAATTATATGGAAATGAGGCTTTCCTCCTATCTTCTCACTTTCCCCTCTCACGGCCCAGTGCACCATTCAGACCTGGTATGTGAGCGGAGATGGGGAGCTGTCCCCACGCTTGGACTCTGGCCTCACCGTGACCAATGTGACCTTTCTTGTCCTCACCGCCCATCACATCGTCTCCTCGCCCACGATGCCATAGTGCTCCAGGAGGGCCTGACCTGCACGAACCTTCAACCAACATGCATCCCCTTCTCAGGTTAATCAATATCTCCATTGTGGGAGGACAGAGACCCTGGCATGTCCACTGGTCAGGAGTGCTCTGACATGGCAGTGATGAGGCACTCAGGGTCACGGGGAGCGGGTTGGACTCCCCTCCTTCCCATAAACACCAGAGTGCGAGGAACAGGGGTCCCCACGTCTCCTTGAATGGTTCTTTCCCAAGCAGGGACTGGATGGGTGCACCTGATGTCCAACTTCCTCTGCCCAGAAAGCACTGGGCTACAGAAATGCATCCATGAGCTGTGCCCCTCAACAGAGGCCACAGGCGGCAAGGTTGTTTGTTCTCATGTTTGAAAAGTCGAAGGAGCCCCTTCCCCTCCTGGTGCTGGACTACCAAGGTCACGTCGGCCCCTCTGGAGTCTCTGGGCTGTGAGGGCTCAGATCTTCTTAGGGGAGCCGATCATGACCTTTGACACGAAGTTGACGATGGCACTGGCCGGCTGCTCGGGGTCATGCTCTGCAAACAGGTGGCACACGTTGTCCGTGGCGCTGCCCTGCTTCCGGGCCACAAATCCAAAGACTCTGCAACAGGAAAGGTGGGTCAGCATGCCAGCCAAGGCCCATCCCTCCCACAGGGTGCATGCCTCCGCTTCTCCCCTCACCATTATCGCCTCTAACTACCACCTCTCCAAAATCTCGGGACCATATCCCCTGCCAGACACCTGCCTGCACACCCCCTCCACGGCAGCAGGGAGGATGCTGTGCCCAGACTTCGCAGGGGAGGAACCTGAGGGGCAGGGCTGGGGAGGGCCGGCCATGAGACTGGGACCTGAACTGAAGACTTGGGTCTAGCCTGGCTGGAACCCTCCAGACCCGTCAGCTCCTGGGCACCAGTCCTGAGTCTCTGGGGAGGACCTTTGTTCCACCACAGGAGCTGCCTGTTCTCTCCTCACACCATCAGAGCAGACGGGCGCAGACAGGCACACACACTTGCGGATGCCAGCACTCCAGTCTCAGTTCCTGGGGTTGGGGGGGCTCTGCCTAGATGCCCACACTCCCAGCCACTGGGGCTGGAGGATGGGGCTTCTAAAAACACACCAGGGGCTCCCTGCCCAGGCCACATATGTGCAGGAGAGGAAACTGTCTAAAAGAACAGCACAATCTATTTTTTCTGAATAAGCTTTTGTGAGGCCCAAACAACACAATAACTACCATTATCCAAACCCAAATCCCTGGATTATCCCTTATCTAAAGTCCTTCTTCTCTTTCTCAGAGAAATGAAGGATGTTTTTATCTGACCTGAGTAGGTTCCACCCCACAGGAGGGACAGGCCGATGGCTCTCAAGCGACCCTCCAGGGCAGCACAGCCCACGTGTGGGGAGTGCAATTGGTCCTAAGAGCCAGAGTTGGGGTGGCCCGGGGGTACTGCCCCTTCTGGGGACCTGGGGAGGCCTCCTAGCACTTTATCAGATGCTGAGACAAAGTTACAAACACAAAATCGGAATCCCAGGCAAGGGCTCCTGTGGTGAGACATTTGCGGTCATCAAATTTAGGTGACATGGAGATGCCCACCTGTGGGGGTGTAGACAGCTCTGGAGGATCTGAGGTTACACGGGCAGCAGGGCTGGGGGACAGCCGTGCTCCCTCTCATCTGGGAAGCACTGACACCTACTGTACCCACGCGGCCCTCCCTCTTAACACACCAGCAAACCCCCTCCTCAACTGCCGGAAACGCTATGCAATCTGCTTCATGCTATTTATACTCTATTTTATGGGTCAAATGGAAGTGTTGCTCATTCAGAGAAGAGCAAACAGAAAAGTTAACCCTCGGCAGGCCCTTTTTGCATAAAAAGAACACTTGCATTTTTGTTTAAAGCCAAATTCAAACCCATAAGCATTATTTGTCATCTTCCTCTTTGGAGATCTGGAGTGGAGTGAGTGTCAACTGAGAGAGGATAAAGGCAGGCTGGCAACATACCTCGAGCAAGGGCCGTCTGTGACCCACCTTGTAAATCAGAGAAAGAGAAGAGTCACGTTAATTTCTTTATTAACTTAAAAAGCCAAGGAAGCATGTGCATCGCTTAGTAGGGATACGGGCATCTTACTTTCTATCCTGTGGATCCAGCGCACAGAAGATCACGCTGCTCACGGGGTAGTGTCTCCGGAAGAAGAGCCTGCAGAGACACAGGGGAGCATGAGCCCATCACTGGGGTCTTGCAGTGACAGTGCTGCCCTAGGAGGGCCCCCCATGAGCACGTTTGGGGGGACAGAAGCCTATTTTATGCTTTTACTGGTCATCTGGAGAGAAGAGTAGAGTGTACATTTGTTAGAAATCAGTAGACATATGAAGCTTGGTGTTTGGGAAGGAGGAAGTCTTGGGGTGAAGGCAAGCACCGTGAGGAGCAAAATGGAGAAACTGCATCAAACTGAGTGAGGCCTGGCCTTCCTGCCTTCATCCCAGGAAACCACCAACTGTCTAGAGCCTTAGATGACTGCCTGTGAAAAGGGCTTCAGTATAGCCCACCATTCTCCTGTGAGAGGAGCCTAGTCACCCCCATGAGGGATCTATCGGCCTGCTGTAAACTATGCACATTATATCCACTGGGAGGTGCTGCTAATGCCAGGCCAGTACAGCTGCTGGGGGGAACCATCAGAGGACCCCTCTGTACTGCTCCTAGCCCCGGTCACTCGTCCTTTGCTTCACGGCCAGCCCCGTGTGCCCCACTCCGGCTGGACAAGTGCCCCCTCCTCCTGAGGAAGGTGGTGTCCCCAGAGGCCAGCATGAGGGAAAGGCGCGGGCAGAGCCAGGCACCTTTCCATGGGGGATGCTGAGGACACAGCCCCCTTTATCCAGCATCAGCTGTACAGGCATGCTCTGTCTCTGGCAAAAAGAAAGATCCTGAGTGCTGTGGGCACAGCCCATCCCCAGGGTTTTGTAAGCACCCGGGGAAACCAGAGGTTCACAAAGAGAACACCGGTAGCAGAAGAAAATAGAGTCTGCAAAGGAAGGAGCCGTGCTGTCCCGCCTGACCCTGTGTCCACGCTTCGGCTGAGCCAGGCTGGCAGTTTGTGTCTATTTCATTCGAGTCACAAACATTCCAAGACACTTACCTCGGTGCAGCTTGAAAAGTGAGGGAACCGACTGTAAGGCATGCGGGACCTGCTATGCGGACCACTTGGATCAAAAGGGGAGCGAGGACCCCAATTTGAGTGGCAGAACTCACACCCCACACTCCCCACCTATTTCATCCTGAGAGCAGTGGTTCAGAGCCCCTCCCAAGCCCAGGACTAGCTCTGAAGCAGGGGTCATGCTGGGAAGAGCTCCTCGGGCACTGGGGTGGGCGCTGCCTTTCCAGCCGGCGTGGGGACTGGTGGCAGCCTACCCCTCGAAGCTCCTGCCACCACTCTGCTTTTAGGGCAGCTGATTGGGCTCCCTCATTAACCACAGCAGGCTGTTTCCATAGCAAATAAAAAACTGCCTCTGAAATGCCTTTGATCCTGAGGTCAAAGGCTCTGCTCGTGGAAGGAGCATGTCTGCCACTGCTCTGTCCAGGCACCTAACCCTGCTCTGTGCTCCGGCTGGAGCTCCACAAGTGCCCCCCTCTCTATGAATCTCTGCGCATCTGGAACCTATTCAGTGACAGCTTGGAGGGAAGTCCCTAGAAACTGAAACAGCATCTGCCTAGATTTCAAATGTTGCTAACTAAGATAGAGTACTGTAAAGTATCTATATAATAGTTAATAATTATTAACAAATTATTCTTTTATATTATATCTATTACATAATATATATTAACATTAACTATTGAAATAGTATCTATCAAGGTCACACTCTTACCTGAAACAGGATAACCAACTGTTAGAAGTAATGACACTAAAGCAAAGATGAGGAGAGTCTATCATAGTCACTGAGTGTTTTTGCAGAAATGACTTGTAAGATCTTTGCATTTGCAGATTACATACACACTCTGTGTGTATCAAAGAGATACTCAAAGATCTCTGTGTCTTTTTTAAAAATTTTACTGATTCCTTAAAAAATCAGCATGTGGGCCAAATGTTAATAGTTTATATGTGTCTCTGAGGACATACTGAACATCAGGATAAAGCACAGACTGACCGGGTCATTGATTTGTTCCTGGACCACAGGGATGACCACCACATGTCCAGGGGCCTGGGCAGAGCTGGTAGGAGGTCTAACCCCAGGTGAGGCTAGAAGCCTTGCGCACCCACCCAGCAGCCCAGCCGCTGGGCACACTCACTTCCTCTGGTTGTCCGTCAGGGTGATGCCCTGGGCTGACACCTTGAAGTGCACGACTGTGGACAAGGGAGGCGGCTCCTGGACTAGGGTCATGCTCAGGGCCTTCTGGATGGCTTGGTGGCCTGTAAGGGACTCCATCTCCACGGAGTTCAGATACCACACATTGCAGGCTGGAAGACACAGGGGGAAGCGGCGTTAATGCATTTGACAGACACAAGGGCCCTGGGGCTTATGAATGACGTGCATAAATTCGTGGCCAAGTGTATCTGAGGCAAGCGCCCTTTATTTCTAATTCCAAAGGCGTGGAGAGTGAGTAACTCAAGAGACACACACACCAGCACTGGGGCAAGGAGACTTCGCCCACTGGTCAGGATGCGTTTCCACCTCTGCTGCATTACTTATACCTGGCATCCCTGGGGGGATGGGGGGACTGGAGGCACCTCCTCAGTCTCAGTGTGGGCCAGATAGGAAAAGAGCCCAACCACACCTGCAGTTAAGGAAACATCCCAAGAGGGGAGCATGCCGTCTGGACCCTAAATATCCACCCTGCATGGAGTTCTAAAAGCACAGGCATCCAGAAAGAGCTGCTGAGAACGAATGACTTGCAGTGACTCAGAATACAGTCTGCAGGCAAAGAGCTGGGACAGCCTGTCCCATCCCCACACTGCAGGGGGGCTGAGGGCTTGTCCATTACCATCACCCCTTGGAGAGGCAAATAGCCGGTTGTGAATGAGGCTTTGTAAACAGCCTGAAGGCCTTCTGAGCATAGCTCCCTGCATAAGTTAATGGGTTGTTGTGACCATGGGACATTCAGACTCTGCCTCAAGTTCAGTTGTGTAGGAGCCGAGATCTCACCTTGCTACTCCCCAGGGATGTGACCCCCCCAGGAACGGAACTGCTCTCATTCCCCACTCTGCCAGATGCAGCTCTGAGAGTGAGTAGGGATATCTTCACTCCGTCTCTAAAAGGCCTCTAGATATTCACTAAACAGAAGCGAAAGTGCTTTCCTGTGACTGGAGCGATCCCCACCCAGGCTGTCTTCCTTTGGGAGAGTCTCCCTGGAGGCCTGGCCAGGAACTGGCTCCGCCTCCACCCCAACTTCTGAGACTGGGCAGCAGTCACACCTGTTGGCAGGTGCACTGCCACATAACCACAAAAGTGGGTTAAGAAGAACAGAAATAAAGTACAGTGTCCCTGGTGTCAAGATGCAGGGCACACCCACAAGAACCCTGTGGCTTGTCCACAGCCCTCTTAAGCTGGGATCGCTAGGACTGCGTCTAATGCTGCAAAAATGGCCTGGCCTGAAACTAATAAGCAATTACATCAAGGCTGCAGGATATAAGGTAAATATACAAGTTAATCACTTCCCTAAGAAAAAGAGGAATTTGGAGTTAAAAACACAATCCCAATTTATATTAGCACCCCCAAAATGAAACAGGTATAAGTCTAATAAAATATTTTATGTACAAGATCTATATGAGGAAAACTACAAAACTCCCACTAATAAAAGCAAAGAACTAATCTAAATATTCCACATTCATGAATAGGAAAACTCAATATATAATTAAGATGTCAGTTCTTCCCAACATGGTCTGTAGAGGCAATGAAATCCCCATCTAAATTCCAGCGACTTACTCTGTGGGTATGAACAAACCTACTCTAAAGTTTATACAGAGAACAAAAGACCCAGGGAAGTCAATACAATGTTGAAGGAGAAGAACCAAATGAGAGGACTGATACTATTAATACTTGACTTTAAGACTTACTATAAAATGCCAGTAATCAAGACAGTGTGGTATTGGTGAAACAATAAGATAAACAGATGAATGGAACAGAATAGAGGGTCCAGAAATAGACCCACATAAATATAGTCAGTTGATCTTTGACAAAGGAACAAAGGAGATACAATGTAGCAAAGACAGTCTTTTTCCACAAATGGTGCTGGAACAACTGGACATCCACATGCAAAAACAATCAATCCAGACACAGACCTTAAACCCACCACAAAAATTAACTCAAAATAGAATAGACGTAAATGTAAAATGTAAACTATAAAACTCTTATAAGACAGGAGAAAATTGAGATGACTTTGGTGATAAGTTTCTAGATACAAAAGACATGATCCATGAAAAGAAGTATTGATAAACTGGGCTTCATTAAAATTAAAAACTTTTGCTCTGAGAGACACTGTCAAGAGGATGAGAAGACAAGCAGCCTCCTAGGACAAAGTATTTGCAAAAAGACAAATCTCACAAAGAACTGTTACCAAAATATACAAAGAACTCTTAAAATTTAACAGTAAGAAAACAAACAACCCTATCGAAAAATGGACAAACAACCTTAACAGACACCTTACCAAAGGAGATATGAAGATGGCAGACAAGTACATGAAAGCTGCTCCACGCCATGTCATTGGGAAGATGCAAATTTAAATGACAATGAGAAACCACTAACCACCTATTTTGAATGACCAAAATCCAGGACACTGACAACATCAACTGCTGGGAGGGTGTGGAACAGGAGGGAGTCTCATGCATTGCTGTGGGAATGCAAAATGGTACAGCCACTTGGGAAGACAGTTTGGTGGTTTCTCACAAAATAAACATACTCTTACCATCTGATCCAGCAACTGTGCTCCTTGATACTTATCCAAAGGAGTTGACAATTACGTCCACATGAAAACCTGCATGTGGATGTTTATAGCAATTTTATTCACAATTACCAAAATATATAAGCATTCAAGATGTCCTTCAGTGGGTGAATGGATAAAGCGTGATATCCAGACAATGGAATATTATTCAGCACTAAAAGGAAACAGCTCTAAGGCCCTAAAAAGACATGGAGGACTCTTAAATGCATAATACTAAGTGAAAGAATCCAATCTGAAAAGGCTCCACATACTGTATGATTCTAATCATGTGAAATTCTGGAAAAGTGAAACCAAAGACAATAAAAGGATTGGTTTGCCAGGATTTAGGAGGAGGGATGAGCAGGTGGAGCACAGAGGATGTTTAGGGCAGTGTAACTATTCTGTGTGATACTACAATGGTGGGTACGTGTCATTAAACATTTGTCCCAAACCATGGGCTTCCCAGGTGGCGCTCGTGGTAAAGAACCCGCCTGCCAATGCAGACATGAAAGACTCAGGTTCGATCCCTGGGTCCTAAAGAACCCCTGGAGGAGGGCATGACAACCCACTCCAGTATTCTTACCTGGGAAATCGCCACTGACAGAGGAGCCTGGCAGGCTAGAGTCCATGGGGTCTCAAGGAGTAGGACACAAATGAAGCGACTTGGCACGCACGCATGGAATGTACACCAGGAGTGAACAGTAATGTAAACTATGTCATCTCCAGGTGACTGAGATGGGTCAGTGTAGGTTCATCAACTCTAACAAATGTCCCACCTGACGGAGGATGTTGTTAATTGAGAGAGGCTGTGCCTATGTGTGGGGGCAGGGGGTATGTGAGAAACCTCTGCAGCACCCTCTCAATTTTGCTGTGAACCCAAAACTGTGCTAAAAAATAAAATCTATTAATAAGAAAACAGTGCCCCCAGTAGCTCACTGTCTGGGGGTTGGTGTCAGCCTGGGTCAAACTGTGGGCTCATTGATCACTTTACTATATATCCGCTGGAGGGGCACATTACCCACAGTCTATCTGACCATTTCCCCGAATGAAACACAGGCTGTGACTTTTATACCACTGAATTTGGTCTTGTTCCACCTGTGGAGTCCTGGCCCAGCTGCCAGGACACTTGCCCCGCCGCTCCCAGCCCAGCCCTGTAGTGGCTTCTACAGAAGGAAGCCTCCCCTGACACACCAAGGAAAGGAACCCAGACTGCAGGCAAGAAAAGAATCCCATTTCTGCCCAGGAGCCAGCAGGAGAGGAAAACACATCGAGGACTGACCTGCCCCTTGCTTCAGCAGCTCGGCCGCAGAGTTGGCTGCCGTTTGCTGAGGATTTTCGGCTATTTCCTCCAACGGATCTGCAGGAAGAAGGAGCAAGACAATGTATGACAATGTGGATGCTCATGACTGCGTCCCAGAGGGTGACAGACAGGCTCTGCAGAGCTGGGCCTTCCTCCTGGTGACAAGAGCTGCACCCAGAGAAGCCATCATCACATTTCAAGCAAAATCTGGGATAGCACAGGCGAGAAAACTACCCTTCTCATCTAAGAATTAATTTATACGAACAATTACATTTTGAAAGGTAAGTCACATCTGCCTCTATTTTAAATTAATCATCTTTATGGAACATAATGCAATTATGTGAACTTGAGATGGCCTAGGAAAGCAGGGATAGGCCTGATCATATGCTATGGGTGCTATTTTTAAAAATTCTTTTCTCATGGATAGTTTGAAACAAACACAGAGGTAAAGAGAATAGTTCATCTAGCACCTAAAGTCAACAATATCAACATTTTTCTGATTTTGTAGAATTATAAAAATGAAATGTAAATGACCTTGCAGGTCTCTGAGTCCAAGCATTTTATACTTCTGAGCTACAGAATCTTTGCTCCATAGGAGCTTTTCACAAAGCCAAGATATAAAGATATGAGTGGAGGCTGAGGGGCAGTGGGTCACCTCTTCTTACCTGACCTGACCTATTCAGGGTTTACCCACAGACATGTGATGGAAAGGAAGTTTTGGTCTGATTTTTCTCACTGAATCTCTATGGATTCCAACACCCTGTGCATGACCCCACACAGAGAGCCAGAGCAGCCCAGGGGCCCTGGCAGCGTACCTCTATCCGGAATGAGCAGTTTGCAGGGCAAAGCCAAGGGCGTAATGGAATGCTGACACACCAAAGCCGTCAGGCTCCCTGTGAATGGATGAAGAACAGACAGGAGTGAACACAGCCCTAAATACTGCATTGCTCAGCCAACTCATCTACTGAAAGGAGGCTGCTGTAAAGGATGACACCTTATATTTTCAGCAACCTACATACTCCATAACTGTGGGAATTTGTGCAAAGATTCAGTGGAGTAGCAAGTTCAGCAGACAGCGAAGGGGCAGGTAACAGGAACTACAGATGATTCTCACCAAAGATATGCCATTGCCAATTTATAAAGAACAAGTCACACAGTCTGCCGATTCTGAGACAGTTCCCACTGGCACCACTGAATTATCTCTGTAAGATGATGCTTTGGTTTGCTCAAGCTCTGCTTGTGAGTGCATGCCATCTTTTGGACATACCTACAGGGTCAGAAAATATCTCTTCTCACTGGGAATCTGTGCTTTCCTTGTGCCCGGTGGACTCCCAACTTTGTCCATACTTCTGTTTGCTTGCATGGACCATACCTGATGGAACCTGCATTTCCAATTCTAGCATGGTGCATTTTATTTGCCTAGATTTAAGAATGCTTTTAAGAACAATTTCATATCCAGTTTATTTTATAAATGATAATTGATGGATCTAAAAATGGGGATGAAAAGTAGATGCTCTGAGTGAAGCCCCAGCAGAGTGATGGACCAAGCAGAGGGAGCTCATGGGTTCAGACACCATGTTAGGCGCTCAGCCACTTACCGAAATATGGTTCATTGGAGCACCCTTTCAACCGCACTCCTTTTGGAGTGCACTCAATCAAAAAATGCCGAACAAGTTCATTGGCCAAATCTCCAGCTGTGGGGAGAGATTTAAAAGAAAGAGAAGAGTATTTTTTAAAATGAGAGCATGGAAGGATGAGAGAGCATGAAGGAGAATCTGGCCCCTGCAACAGGTAGGCTGCCAATAACCACTCCAGAAATAGCAGCTGGATTACAGGACAGTGGCTGAGCACTGCCTGGATGGGCAGCTAGAACTCCCTCCAGTGACCATGACTGGAGGTGGAGGAATCCTTGGGAAAGAGCTTCAAACATTCTGCAGAATTCCCAGTTATGGGAATGAGCAGCTAAGAACTCAGAACATGGACCTCCAGCTCCTTCACCTCCTAAGAGAGCTTAGGACCCAGACACAGCATGATGTCCAAGAATGAATCACTGGAAAGAGCTGGAAGGGTGCCAGAGTTCTGGGTAAGATTTAGCCAGGAGTCAGGTACCCAAGCCCCTCCTGAAACCAAGCCTTCTAATCATACTGCTACTACACTGTGTTCATGCCAGCCCACAAGCCCAAAAAGAAAGTGCATCCTGAAAAACCACAGAATGGCAAACTGTCTGGTGGTGGAAAAGTACAAATAACAGAAGAGAAAGAAGTCACTGCTCTGTGCTAATGAATCCCGCAGACCCTCACGCTGTGCTGTGTCTCTGTCCTACCTCCTTCAGCACCCTCCCTGGGAATGTGTCTCCATGGGAACGGGTTTCCATGGGAATGTGTCTGCTGTAACTTCTAACATTTCTGATGGCTGGATCTGCTAGAGGCAGATTTGGGCCCCACACCTGGCCCACAGCAGGTCCCCTGATAATGCTTATTATAAACAACAGTGACAAGTATCAACATCAGTGTCAGCATTGCGTAGGGGCAGTATAGCTGGTAGGAAAGGGAATGATCAGATTCCATAAAAGGCAGTACTGAATAAAAATGGGGAAAGGAACATTTTGCCATTCAGCTGTGGGAGGAAAATGATCCATGGCTTCTAAACTGAAGGGAGACCCGGAGTGTGGTCTGGATGCCGGTGGTGAGAAGTGACTCAGTGGGAAACCAGCTGTGTAGGGGTTTGGAGAACAGCCCCCGCCACACGTCTGTCACTGTTCTGTCTCCGGGGTACCAGGGGTGGCTGGTGACTTGCTGGGCTTTTTCCTGGTTTAGTCAACTCTCCTCTCTGCCCTTACACTGTGAAATCCAAATGCCAGATCCAAGGGTTGATTGAAGACTTGGCAGCCAGATAAAATTTCACCAAGAGGACACCAGCAACGCTGCATGTCCAGAAATCTGCTATTCTAAAATCCTCCATTTTGTTGCCTTTGCCTGAAGACCGAGTCAATATTGACCTTAGAGGCAGGATGCATGCCTGGAAGTTAAGAATTATACACCACCATCTGTATTTCCAAAAAAGACAACACATGCAGGAACAAAAAGTTTTGACCTAGCTTTGAAAGCTCCACCTGAACACCAAGGGGGCAGAATCTGTGCTCATTCTGGTCCATCCTTCCCTCACCCAGGTGAGCCCAGGTGCCCCAGGAAGAGTCATGTGACCTGCTGACATTCCAGCCCACAATCTCCATTTATGGGAAAAGAATCTTTTCCCATTCCTTAGTTTGTGGCATAGTTGGTTAAAAAAAAAAAAGGTACAGAGGGTAGGATGAGACTAAAAAAAAAAAGAATAAACCAGAAGCCATATATTAGGGGACAGAGGAAGGGAGAAAGTCTATTGCTTTGTTGGGAACCAAGCTTGTCCTTGAGGGAGCAGTGAGAAAAGACCTGTTGATATTTTATTTGAAAGGGTGGTTATCAGCATGAGCTCAGGAATTTTTTTCGACAGGTTTCCCAGGTGGTGTTAGTTGGATGAAGAACCTGCCTGCTAATGTAGGAGATGTAAGAAACCTGAGTTCTATCCTGGGTTGGGAAGATCCCCTGGAGGAGGAAATGGCAACCCACTCCAGTATTCTTGCTTGGAGAATTCCATGGACAGAGGAGCCTGGTGGGCTGCAGTCCACAGGGCTGCAGAGTCGGACACAACTGAGTGACCAACACTTTCACTTTTCACATTCCCTAGCTCAGGTCCTAGAGAGAAGGAGTGATACTCTGATACCAAAGAGCAAACCTAGAGATCAGATTTTGGTTTCTAGATACTATTCCCCAATATAAAGAACCAAGGATCTTTAGAGAAATGGCTGGAGGAGGGGAAGTACAAGGTAAGCCTAAAACACGCTTGCTTTCAGAAAACTGGAGCACTCACAGGCTAATGCGGGTATGTCAGAAGGACACGGGGTCACTGGAAGGGCCTTAACTAGTTAAATCCAGTATCCTTGGAAACCAAAAAGCCATGGTGGTGATGGATTATGAAACACAGAAAAGGGCACATAGGGGCTTCCCCACAAGGTTGTCACCTGTGGTGGGATACATGCATGTCGGCTTCATAATAATGTTTACCTATGCATGTAGGCATTGCAAACTCTTTTGTACCTGGTTATGTTCCCGACTGAAAACATTTCAAAGGTCAGAAGAAGCCCTGCCTGCACTACACATTATTCAGCTAGAATTTGCCACCAGTGCAATGTTGGACAAGAGATGGAGGAAGTCTTTGTCCTTTCCCCTGGGAAGGGAGAGTCTAAAGACTTCAGGCTTGCACTGGCCTCATCTTCAATCCATCAAAATACTCTACAGGGTGTAGGAACAAGAACCGTGTATACTGTATGCCACCTTCTATGTAAGAGAAAAGGAAAAATGCCTATTCGTGTGCACTGAATAGATAGATAGAAGGCACAGGAATTTATAACAGATGTTTACCCACAGGAGGCAAGATGGGACTGAGGCAGACAGGGCTGAAAATGGAAACAAAGACTCCTGATCAGAGGCCTTGCTTTATTGTTCTGTTATCTGAACAATGGGATGGATCACCCATCAAAACAAGTTAAAAAAAAAAAAAGGAAATTTAAAAAAATTAAACTTTCTTCTTGAGTTAGGACAGTACTTACTAAAATACACCTGAAAAAAATAAATACTAAGAAGAAAACCTATGAGTGCTGTTGCAGGTCATCCACCACCTCATGGGGACAAAGGAAACTGGCAGGTGAGGGCCCGCTGAGCCGAGCAGGACCCACCTTTCTTGTTCATCTGCAGCACAGAGGGCGGCGGTGTGGCCACCTTCATGGCCAGGCCGTAGGCGCCTCGGAAGGAGTGGCTGTCCCTGACGATGAAGGACCCGGGCTCCTTGTCCTTCAGCATGGCGATGGCTGCGGAGGGGAGTGGAGGGACGTGAGTGTCTGCAGGGGACGCCACGGCCTGACCCCACTTATGGCCATGACAAGGGTAAGGGAGCCTGCAGTGACCCGAAGTCCCGTGGGGGCCTGACTGTCAAAGACACACGGGCACAGGGTGGCCCATCCTTCAGATCACAAAGGTGCTGCCTCCACACTCAACTCCTGTTAACCCCGCAGCATCTTTGAAGCCCAAGCAACGACGACCCCACCTGACAGCCCAGGAAGCCGAGGCCCCCTGGTTCCCGCCAGCCCAGGCCTCTGCACACAGCGCGCAGAGCAGGGGATCAGGCAGGGCCGCCCCTTGGTCCCCGCCGTGGCCCTGTCCTACGGCTCCCTGCGTGGCACTGTTCTTAGAGATTTTGGAACATGCGCTTTCAACTTTCCATAGGAGGAAAGAAATTTCCAATCATACTTTCTGAAGACTGTGGATGTGCCCCCAAAGTTACTGAATATTTAATAAAGTCCCAAGACTTGGCCCAGGGGGTGGCCGTAGGTGGCCCTCCGTCCCGCAGCTCTGAGGCAGGGGTGGTGATTGTGGCCAGTTGTTTCCAGTCTGGACGAGGCCGTGAACCCCTGTTTGATGTGGCCAGTGAGGGCCATGAAATGCACCTGGCGCTGCCCCTGCCATCTGCCCCAGTGAGGCTGGAACACAGGGAGCTCTAATATCCCTCCCCTTGCAGTTCAAAGTCCAGCCTCCCAGGTCCTGGGCTCAGGATACAGGAAAAAAGAGGGATGGGTTAGCGTCACAGTATCCTAAAGTTGATGCGGCCCAGACACCAGTGAGAATTTTCTCCAGTAACCAGAACACCTCTCAAGATTTATATATTTTACGACACGAAAACTAGGGATTTAAAGTATAAAGCACTACACAATGACAGCCATGGGAATGCCGCCTTTCTGTAGAGCCCAAGGCCCTGTCTGGAGTAGAGTGGACCGGACATTAACCTGGGAGTGGCTGGAAGCACAGTCAGCAACAGGAAATAACCCCAGAGAGCCCCCTGGTTCCAGGCCCTCTGTGTACCCTGACTCCAGCCCCACCCCTACAACATGGCATTTGCTTGGTTGCAGACAAAACAGCCAGTTTCTTCTACACCTTCTTCCATGCACTGCTCCAGCCCCTGGCAGGACAGGCCCTAAGCACGAGCTTATGCACATGGTGGGGAAGAAGCAGAGGAAAGCACATGCTCTCTAAGGGGAGGGGGCCTGGTGTGACCCCAGGGGTGCAAGTCTGACACGTGGAGCCACAGCCTACCTGCTGCTCTGGCACCCCAAGACGGGTGGGGAGCAGACACCAGGGACCCAGGCCCATGCAGCAGGTCTTGTCTCATAGCATGTTTTCTGATTATGGGGGCTGAACACATTATTTTTTTAAAATAGGAGAAAGATCACTTACAGAAGTTATCTTTTTCAATTGTGATAACCTCACCAGAGCCTTTTCTTTGTAAGTCATGATTTTACTTCACTGTGGTACAAAGAAGTGCCCCGGCCTCGTGGGCAGCAGACTTCTGGGTGGCGGAGGGAAGGCTGGCTCCTCTCTGGCCCATTCTCCCCTCTTAGGCCTCCCCGTCTCCACCCACCACCAGGCCACCTGGGCACAAGAGAGCCTGAGGGCCATGCTGGACTCATTGTTTCTGAAACAGAAATGAACCCTTGCTGAGTTGTGTGAATGAGCTAGTGTACCTCCAGGGGCAAGGCCAGGTCTGCCGCGTGGCTGCAGGGGCAGCAGCCGCATCCTTATCACCTCTCTCCCTGCAGCTGGAGCTTTCAAGGATGCTGGAGCAGAGACCAGAGAGCGCAGCTGGTACGGTCACACTTAATTTCTACTTTAGGCTTTCCCTTCTGGCACAGTGGATACGAATCCGCCTGCCAACGCAGGCGACACAGGTTCGACCCCTGTTCTGGGAAGTTTCCACATGCTGTGCTCGGAGCAACTAAGCCCGTGAACCACAACTACTCAGCCCAAGTGCTGCAAGTGCTGAAGCCCGAGCACCCAGAGTCTGTGCTCCGCAACAAGAGAAGCCACCACAATGAGCAGCCCACGCACCGCCGCAATGAAAAGTAGCCCTGGCTCGCTGTAACTAGAGAAAGCCTACATAAAGCAACGAAGACCCAGTGCAGCCCAAAATAAATAAATTTAAAAAATTTTTTCTACTTTACTTTAGAGCCCCTTTTCTCCTGAGGTTTTTATGTTCACCTTTAAAAAAACTCCCAAGGAACTAACCTTTCCATAGTAATATGTGAACAGCTGTGCCCCAAAACAGGCTATAGGTTTTCTCCCCCTCCTGCATCTCCCTGAAATTTCATCACAGTTTTTCCAGAAAACGGCACATCCCAGCAGTTACAACAAAACCCACAAGAGGCTTTCTTCCATTTGGTGAAGTTGGCACACCCACCAGAGCATTCGTCTGTGTAGGTGTTGTCCGCACAAAATATCCAGAAAATAGAAGAGGTTCCGCTTTTGGAGTTCAACTGGAAAAATCAATGCCCCATGCACATATTAGCTATTTTGAGATGGGGTCCACCCCAAAGAAATATTTTTAAATGCGTGGCTAAGGTGGCTCAGATGGTAAAGAATCCCCCTGCAGTGCGGGAGACCTGGGTTGGATCTCTGGGTTGGGAAGATCCCCTGGAGGAGGGCATGGCAACCCATTCCAGTACTCTTGCCTGGAGAATCCCATGGACAGAGGAGCCTGGCGGGCTACAGTCCATGGGGTCGCAAAGAGTCGGACATAAATGAGCGAATAAGCACAGCAAGATTAGGCAAATGACAACAATGACTCCTACTGCCTAGCAGATGCCAGCAAGGGAGGCTCCCTCCACCCAGAGTCTCTCCCCCACACGCTATGAGGCAGGCTGTGCCATCCCTATCTTGCAGGACCCGCCGGGCACACTCCAACCAAGCCTGCCTCTTCATTCAGAGAAGGAGACAGTCCAGCCCAGCCTTCACCCGGGTCTGAAAGGCTGAGCCGCTGGAGTAGGGTGGTCTGTTTAGAATACTCTAGAACAAGGTCCTCAATGAGCACCTCTCAGGGTCTGTGGGCTGGATGAGGCACTGGGCACTAGAACTAAGGGGACTCTTGCAACCAGAGCAGGGAGGGGACAGGAACGGCATCTGGCCACACCAGAGCCTGAGACGTGGTGAGCGCCCACAACACAAAGGCCAATTCAGGGACTCAGAAGCCGCTCCGGGTCAAGAGGGCTCCCCCACACGACATGACAATGGGTCCATTGAGCTCATGGGAAGAAAGGCACATTCTTACCATTTTTATTATCTGCCTAATTGAGTATAAGAATTTCTATGAAAAAGTTGGACGGCGCTGTTTTCCAGCCATTTAACTATTCACATCCAGGCATTTCTGAAGAATTCCCCAGGAGAGCAGTTCTCACTTTCTTCCCCAAGCTGAGATCCCAGCACAGAGCAGCGGTTCACCATGTGTTTAGCACGCCTGGCCGCTGGAAGACCCGCCATCCCCTTTCTCAATCCAGCACCCCCAGCCACCCTGGGGAACCGCCTTCCTGGGCATCCTGACCAGCGTCTGCCAGCCCCCCAGCCAGTTCCACATCATCCTCTCCGAGAGAGGCCTGGGAGTGATGAGTCCACAGGCATCACCTCCAGGGAGGACGACAGCACCTCGCAGGGACCCCAGGAATTTCTGCTGAAGGGAGTGCTGTTCGCCTAAGGGCCTGTCCCAGAGGGCCCACCACCAACGGCATGCCAGCTTCCTTCTGGGACATCTCTTACATTCATGTTCTAGTAAAAAGTGACATGCAACTTAGCTGCTCAACAGTATTAACCATTTCTCATATTTGCCAGCTGTCTTAAGACTGAACTGCACACCCAGAGTCACTGTGCTGTGTGTGTGAGAACTGGGCTAAGGCTGCCGGCAGTCTGTCCTTCTGATATGACACAGGCAGGTGTGCCCATTAATAGGAAAGACACTTCTTCCCCTTGACTTCCCCTTGAGGCTGGGACCCATGATATCTCATCACAATCTGTGGCCATCACGGGCAATACCGGCTAGACCTTGGCTGGTGGAAGCCACCAGAAATTACACCCCAACACTGGAATGATCATGGCTGGTGCCCTTGCTGGCTGGCTCCCTACTTAGGAATGATGTTTTACAATAAAAACTTAAAGGTCGTGGCCTTTCCCCCAAGGTGGGTAATGAAGTGCAGGCCTTGCTCTAACTCATCCATCCCCAGGTGATGCCTCCCCGACACTCCTACCCTAGACACAGGGTCCTCATCTGGCCCACGCACCTTGCTCTCTGGAGATGTCCGCCTTGTACCAGAACTTGGATGTGTCCTGAACAAAGTTCACAGACACGTGCTTATCACCTGGATTATCTGCAAAACAAAATTTAAAAACAGTAACTGTGAAGGGCATTTTTTAATTGCAACCTCTCACCTCAAAGGGACCTAGAAGTTCAAAGTCCCACCCCAGGTGAGAGTGCTCTATTTAACTGCAGGGGAGAAGCCTGACACGGAGCAGGGAGTGGCTGTTTGATAACAGAAAACACAAAGACAGCAGGACGCCTCCACGATCAGGCTCCCCATTTCACCCACACGTAGTTAGAAAGACAAGAAGCATGCAGAGCAAGGCTGGGGTCCCTCACTCCTATCAGTGTCTAACTCTTTCTTCTACATTTGAAACATTAGACAATTAAATTTCAAATGCATTCGTTTAATTTTTTAATTACTATTACAGAGCACTGACTCCAAGTGGAAGGGAAAAAGATAGAACCACCGTGGTTCTATACAACCAGCATTTTCTGCTGTTGAATGAAATCGAATATGAATAAATGCAGAAGTGCGTGCATGCTCAGTCATGTCTGACTCTGCAACTTTATGGACAATAGCCCACCAAGTTCCTCTGTCCATGGGATTCTCCAGGCAAGAATACTGGAGCAGGCTGTCATTTCCTCCTCCAGGGAATCTTTCCGCCTCAGGGATTGAGTCGCCGGCACTGGGAAAAGGGTTCTTTACCACTAGGGTCACCTGGCAAGCCCAGGTGAATTAAGAGGCAGCTCTAGATTGCTATTTTCCTTTGGGCTAGGCTAGGATTCCCTGGTGGCTCAGTCGGTAAAGAATCCGCCTGCAACGTGGGACATGTGGGTTTGGTCCCGGGATTAGGAATATCTGCCGGAGGAAGGCATGGCAACCCGTGCCTGTATTTTTGCCTGGAGAATTCCATGGACAGAGGAGCCTGGCAGGCTACAGTCCATGGGGTCACAGAATTGGATACGACCGAGTAACTAACTTTATTACAGTGAGATGGAAAAGCCCCCTTGAAGGCTATGGATTCTTCTGTCAAGGCACTCAGCCCAGTAACAGCACTGGTGCTCACTGGGCAGGCCGAGCCGTAAGCCCAGGTGCTTCCCTGCCCGAGCGCAGGCTTGAGCACAAGGATGGGCCCTACCCATGGAGACACACGTACCTGGGAAAGGTGCTGCCCCCTCGGCGGCCTTGGAAAAGTCCGGGATGATGTTTGGAAAAGGGATGCTCATGGTACTCCCGCTGTGAGGACTGGAGAAGCCGCTGGAGGATGGCGAGACGGAGCCAAAAGACCGATCTCCCTCTGAGGTCCGCTTCTTCTCGGGAAGGGGTGGCTGCCCGGGCAGAGCCAGTCCCGGTCCCTGCAGGACCGGGCTGTGGTGGCCGCTGTGTCCAGGCGCCACCGTGAGAAAGCTGTGGGACAGGAAGCTGTTGTCGGCAGCCTCAGCTGCTGTCAGTGGGTTGCCGGGGGCCTGGGCTGCTCCGTGGGAATTGGCCAGCAAGGCCCCGGCGTCCTCCCCGGCGGGGAGCCCACCTCCCGTCATTGGGGCAGTGCTGAAGCTCAGGAAGGCCTGGCTGCTCGGGGGACCCAGAGCTTCCGGAGGCTCTGCCAGGGACAGCTCGGGGCCGTGGAAGGATGTCTGGAGGTCGGTAGGTGGGAAGTGGGGCCGCACGGGGCCATCCTTGCCAGGCCGGCTGCCCCCCAGGAGGGTCAGCGTGGACTTGGGGCTGTTCTCCACCCACTGGTGCTCAGCTGAGGAAGGGCTGTTCAAAACACAAACGGCAAGACAATGACATATCCAGGGAGAATTAGCATTGGTTAATTAGGGGAATTAGTCTAATTAGCCCGGGAATTAGCATCGGTTCCCACATGACGGGGATGAGAGGCAGGGTACTGAGGTTCCCCTTGCAGTAGCGTGGGGCTCCCCAAATATCAGAACTCAGGCCCTGCTTCTCCAGCCTCCCACCTGACCATTCACCCCAGATGCTCAGTCCACAAGCTCGGGGAGGGGAGGCGGCCCTCCCTGCCTCTATAGCCTGTGTGCCTCTTCCTTTCCACTCTGACCTGCAAAGTCCCCTCTTCTCTTCAGTTCAAGCCGCAGCTCCACTGCGTCCTGACTTTGAAGCCCTCCCTGCCCATGTCCATGCGAGCACAGGGATTAGTAGTGTCCTTCCTCTGGTCCCAACACACAGGCACCAACCAGGTACCTGCTTAAACCCCTTCCCCTGGCTTTCTTCTTCCCCAGGCCCAACATCGGTCCGCACACAGTCGATTTTCAATAAGTGCTTGCAGGACCACTGACTGATTAAAGATACCAGTAAGAACACAAGAGATTACCATGTCAGAAATGGGAAATTCCAACAGTAAGAATCCTGGAGGAGGTTCAGAAAGGAGGGGGCATAGGTATATCTACAGCTGATTCATGCTGATGTTTGGCAGACACCAACACAATATTGTAAAGCAATTATCCTTCAATTAAAAATGAATAAACTTCATTATAAAAAGAATATTGGAAACTATATTTAGAAATATAGAAAGACAAGTAACACATATATCTCACTAGCAAACACATATTTGCTGTGTGTGTAATGTTAAGTCCTGATATGCAATGTGCCCCTTTTTTTGTAAAGAAATGAGGTGGGATTCAGGGTGATAACTGCAGAGCAATGTGTCCACAAGTAAAAGACTAAGAAATGCTTCCTACCCTGAGCATGTGAATTTGCACTAGGGCAGTCCTTTGTGAAGCAGAAATAGGACATTTCTCTTTGTCCATGACCCTCTACACCCCAGGCTTTCCCAAACACTAGCACAAATTCCTTTTTTCCCCCCGAGAGTAGTGCATCCTGCCTGCCCTCCCCACCCCCAGCCTGCAGCCCTGGGCAGGCCCCCTCCTAGCTTGACCACTGTACCCCGTTTTCCAGCCTCAGCTCAGACAATGCCTTCACAGTCCTTAACTGGCCGCTGGGCCCAGACTCTAACAGCAGTGTGTTCCTTGAGCACCCCACCTCTAAAAGTGAAGGTGGACACAGGAGTTTTTACTTTGACTGCATTTTTGAAGACCGATGGCTGTCAGTGCACAAGGTGGCCCAGTGTCGTGTGGAGGACGAGACCCCTGCCCCTTCCCTCCGTGGTGTTCAGGCTTGGGTCTGTAAGAGCAGCCTGTGTTTGGTTCAATGACCACCTTACCTCCCTCTCCGCTGGCTGGGGCTGTTGCCGGAAATGGTGCAGGAGGATGTGAATGCCCGCTGGAAGGAGGGCGCCGTGGGCATGTCGGCCCGGAGCATCGTGGGTTTGGGTCCAGCAGGGCTCTCTGACATCCCCACAGAATGACTGAGAATCTCAGGGCAGCCTCGGGGTTCTGGAGCAAGAAAACATGAGCAGACTATAAGCAACAGTGCCACTTGCGAAGCTTTCTGCTGCAGAAGGAGGTGACCTGACTCCACCAAGTGTAGGCTCCTCTTTCCCAGTACATTTCCAAAGGGGAAATAGCTGGCTGGTCCCTGCGGCTGTCAACACATACTCATGAGTATCATCAGTGAGTAAGCTGAGGACCAGTTTACTCTGAAACACTTACCGCCCCAATGAGATAAACCATTTCTCACTCTAGAAATGGCAAGGTCTCCATGCAAACCAAAGAAAGTGCAAACCAGCAGCTGTGGGGTGGGTGGGCAACTGATGAGTCGTGTGCTTTTGGCTAACACTTTCCTCCGCGAGCACAGCCCTGCCTGCAATGTCTTCACCCCCAGGAGGTGCAAAGACCACCTGGCCTGACTCTTGTCAAGGGAGGATGAGAAACCGAACACCAGGAAACCCTGCCTGACACCCTACAAACCCCAGGCAACTTCACATGTTCCACTGACCAGATGTCCACCCTGCTTACAGTCTAGCATCACTACTATTTCTGCGTATTTTTAAAAATATGCAAAATACTTTTAAAAACTAATTTTTGAGAACTAGACAAATCTACCATAGTCAATAAATAATAAAATAACACTATGAGAAATACAAGTTATTTTGCTTTCTGCCTTAAAACAAGGGAGGATTGATCAGAAAATAATAAAGCTGAAAAAATTTCACATTACTCACGTTACTGAGCTCTATCCATCATAGTCCATCCACCTATCTATCCATCCATCCACTCATCCATCCATTTATCCAACCATCTAACATCTATCTATCCATCTATCAATTTGTCTATAATTTTTGGACACAATATAAAATATTTATTTAAAAAACTGATCAGGCATTCCAGGTAACAAAACAAAAAATGAAAAAAAAAAAGGAAAACACACCCACAGGTTAATACAAACACTGGAGTTAAAAGGCACAGATTTTAAAAGGGAAGCTGCAGTGGCTTAGTGGTAAAGAATTCACTTGCCAATGAAAGAGATGCCAGAGACGCAGGTTTGATCCCTGTGTTGGGAAGATCCCCTGGAGGAGGAAATGGCAACCCACTCGAGTATTCTTGCCTAGAGAATCCCATGGACAGAGGAGCCTGGTGGGCTACAGTCCATGGGGTCACTAAGAGTCTGACACGACTGACTGACTAAGCAATTCAGCACCAAACTGAAAATGTTTCAGAAAATAAAAGACAAGAGAGAATTTCACCAGAGACCTGGAGTCCCTTAAGAATAATCGAACAGAAAACCTAAAACTTAAAAACACAATTAATACAATTAAGTCTTAGGTCAATGATTGTAACAGCAGACTAGAGACAGCAGAAATGATGACTGGTCCAGAAGAAAATATCCAGCCCAAAGCCATGAGAGGAAAAGGATAGAAAAGAGGAGAAAGACATGTGAGACATGATGAAAAATTCTAACACGTATAATTGGAGTTTAAGAAGGGGTGGATAAATTCAGTGAGACAGAATCAATACTGGAAAATATATTTACTGGGAATTTCCCAAAACAGACTAAAGAAATCTAAAGCCAGAAGTTTTTTTTTTTTTAAATCATGAAATCTAAGCAGGATAAGTAAAAAGACAACTACACTTAATCACTTAATAGTAAAACTTTCGAAAATCAATGACAAACTTAAACAGAGCACTTGTCCCATTTTGGGAGGAGGGTGGTATCCAAATTCTGTGTTAATTCTTTTAAACCTTTAGTAAACTTTTGATTACAGAAAAGTCGACTGCTACTGTTCTATTGGTACAAAATACACTGTAAGCCCCTGGATGGACGCTGCCCGCACCCAGCTGCAAACGCTCCATGATCACTCAGAGCTGGGTGTGCTAATGTCAGTGTCATACACAAGGCTAGTGTGTCTCCTGCTATGACTCACCTATAAATTCCTAGAGCAGATGCAGTCATCCTACTTATGCTGTTTAACTGCCCCTCATGCCAGCACAACATCCTACAGCAAATGTTCTAAAATAAATGTTTGCTGAATGAATTAACCAAGAGGATGGTCTCCAAAGCCCACCCTTCAATATTTCTGACTGAAGTGGGACAGAAAAGCAAAGATGCATGCATGGTGTTTCAGATATTCCTCTGCACAGGGTCAGTTCCTCTGCTACCGAGGTTGCTCTCGGTGGTCCCCATGAAGTCACAGGGCATGCGTGTCAGCAAGTCCAGGGGCCATAGGAATCCCAGCTACCTCAGGAATCCTACACCACCCTCATGTGGTGCACAGGAGTCCCAGCAAAGGAGAAGAAGCCAAAGGAAAATGAGATCCCACTTCGTGCTGTTATCACGCTGCCTGTTCCAGAAAACAACAAGCACAGTGCTTCCCATGAAAGTGGCTTTGTTCCTAACGCAGCTAGAGCCAGCTCTGAGGCACGTGGCTGGGTTTGGTGCCTTCTGCTCAGATCAGCCCCTGCCAGGGCAACAGGATTTAACCCCTAAGGGGGTGACCCAGCACTAGTGGAAATCCCAGCTTCCTGGTCCCTCCGTGTGCTCAGAGATGCAAAGGGTACTACGAGTGGGGCCTCATGGGAGGTAAGGGCACACCCTTCATTCTCCAAGCAGTGGGGCACTGCCCCCTAGCCCCACTGGGAATCTAGAGACATAAGAAGAGGGGTCCCACACGGCTGGAGAAGGACCCTGAAATCTGAGTTCAAGTACAGATGGAGACACCAGTCGTGTGAGTGAAGCCTGCAGACCCTTCTGCAAGAATCTGCCTCATTTCTCAAAGTGTGCATGCCCCGAGAGCAGGAAGGATGTATCCTGACTGGTTTTTGTTCAGCTTGCACATTTGCCATTCACAGTTGAACAATATGTGAAATTTCTGAAAGGAGAACCGTCCATGGGCCCTGCTGCCTACTGGGGATTCGGGGTCAGGGCTCTGTCTTCTCAGCTATGGACCCAGAAGGAGGTTCAGGGGTGCAGTGACATCCATGGGAGCAGATGAGAATTTAGAGATGAGAGCAGTTCTGCAGGCGTTGGTCCTGGCTGCCTTTTCTCCACCCTGGACACCACAGACAGCATGTCCATTTGTCCTAAACCGACCACATAAGGGGCTCCGGGACAGTGAGACTTCCAGGGCCACAGTTACCATTAGGCTGTGTCCACAGTTGCGGGGTAACTAGGGCCTCCACGGACACTGCCGGACACCCCCTGCACGCCGGAGCCCTGGTGCCCAAGTGGATCTGGGCTCTTTTAGGTATCCTCCTGGCAAAGCCCAGGTCTGGTCCCACTCACCACATTCCCGCATCTTCTTTTCCCTGCTGACACCCAGAGGAGCCCACATAATGCCTCCAGTGTTTGGAAATCAGCCCCCTCACTTCCTGGTTTTCTCTGAGCAGATGGTGCTGGGCTGAGGGCAGAGAGGAGGGCGCCTGCCTCTCCCTCTGGGCTCCCGGGATGTCCGGTGTCCTCTCCCCTCGGCTTCCCCTTCCTGCACTTCCTTTATCCAGAACAGAGTGACAGAGGGTCACAGGCTCTTTCCCAAAAGGTCTATTTTTATGCTCTCATGCGGGCCACTGCAGGAGGTTCTGTGGGAAGCTGGGGAACATTTGCTCTCTGGTCACCACTATTTACATCACATGGTGTAAGTTAACAAGAAGAAAGGGAACCTGTGTTGCTCTCAGCTCACTGTCCTCCAGAGCCTGGTGCCACCTGACCCAGAGGCTGAGGCCTTCACAGGAGGAAATGGCTAGGCATCAAAGGTAAAGGAGGGGCCCAAACAGCAAGGTTCATGCCCGTACAACTGTTCTCTTGGATGCAGGCACCGCTACTAATGCATGTGACATTACAGGAAAGAAAATCAACATTTCCTGTCTTCCCAGTTACATAAAAAAAAATCATAAAATGTATAAAAAATTATTCACGCATATATTACTTACTCTTAATAAGGACAAATTGTCATTAAATTTTTCATATGAACTTTAATACCTGTCTTTCATATCTATAATCTATCTATCTCCATCCCCCTGTTCCTTCTTCCTGGGATGATGTAGTTAATCAGGAGGTTCCCTTCCCTAACATTTGAGAATTCTGCAAAATGAAACATTAACAAATCTTTCTCTTCTTTCACTCTACTTCCGGGTTTGAAACCAGGGCTGCCAGGGAAGGAGAGCAGAGATCCCCCAAGTTCTAGTCTGAGTTCTGCCATGAGTCATGGGCCACTGAATACACTCTCAACCTGTGGGACCTCAGGTTCTTCATCCACAGAATCCCATCAATTAGGATCAAGGAGGATGATTTCTCGGGTCTCTTTAGCTCTAGATTTACTTCTCCATTGTCTCTTTTCCTTCTGCTTCCGTTTCCCTCTGTAAATTGGTGGTTTCCATCTGTGGTGATTTACTTAGTCAGTCCCAGGTGGCGCTAGTGGTAAAGAACCTGCCTGCCAATGCAGGAGACAAAAGACGTGGGTTCAGTCCCTGGGTTGGGAAGATCCCTTGGAGGAGGAAATGGTAACCCGCTCCAGTATTCTTGCCTGGAGAATTCTATGGATAGAGGAGCCTGGTGGGGTACAGTCTATGCGGTCACAAAGACTAGGCCACAACTAAGCATACATGCCCTTTTTCATGTTTCAAGTCTCAGCTCTTGATTTTTGCTTTATGGTTACCATAAGGTTTACAGAAAACATTTCATAGGTAAAATAGTCCTTTTTCTGTTGTCCAGCTCTAAACTTAAACTATTATTTTTAAATGCAAGACTGTATGGGAAGTTCAATAGTCATAACTTTTAAAGGGAGTCCTTATCTTGTAGTTTTTCTTTTCTATTTGTCTATGAACAACAGACCATTTGACCAGTCTTCTTGAGAGCAAGGGGAAGATGAGCAGACAGCCAGATATAATGACAATCAGAGAAAAACCCCAGAAGACTGAAAACACAACGCTGCATAGAAGGTTTATCTTTTTTTGTCAAAAATCAAAGTCTTATATCTCTAGCCTCATAAATACTCTACAAA